CTAAAACAGCATCACCAGCTTCACATTACTAACCAGACTGCTGCTATTTCTGTCAGATGTGTACAGAAGTGCTTATTGAAAATTAACAGAGGTTTAGATGTTGTTGTTTTCGGACACTACCATGATGGAGATCAGTGTTTGCTTTAGTTGGGATCTTGAACCTTGATTTAATAAATTATTTTCATTTGCTTGCCTTAACTGCTGTTATTATCAATACATTTGTTGTGGTAAAGAAGGGCCAAAGCACAATATGTAATGCTGATGATTATGATTCACAAATGGTAGTCCCATCTTTAAAAAACCAGTTCACTGATATTGTCCAGAGTCTCATTTTGTATCAAAGCAATGTTATGGTAACATACTGCGGCGAAAGATCAAGCGGGCTATTACTAAAGATCACACACACATCACTCAAAAATATAAAGCTTTATCATGCTATGAAACACACACATGAAGAATCAGTGTATGAATTTCAACAACGGTGCCAATCCAAAAAATTTATAAACAAATTGACTCTGAACATCACAAAACATGCTACTAAAACTCAACACAAAAACAAAAGCACCTAGTAAGAATGAAAGAAAATAAGTGGACAATTCAGCTGCATCATTTATTCATGCCGCAATGCATGCTGGGAGTCATGGATGAGTTTTTTCCTGTGCTGGTACCCAGCATGCATTGCAGCATGAAGCTTTTGATTGTCACCATTGTTGAGATTCATACGCTGATTCTTGATGTCTCTGTGTGTCTAAAAAATGTTGTAGATTTGAAGCCTATGAACACACATAGATTTCAATATCCATCAGAATTGTCAATCAACTCTGTTTGCAGTGTCATATAGCTATCTTAAATAACAGTGTATATTGTACTGGAAATGTTTAGTTTGGTCTCACCATTGTGGCGATCAGTGGTTGCTTAAGTTGGGCTCTTGACCCTTGACTCTTTAATGTTAATGTTTATTTGCTGTTGTTTCTGTGTATGTAAAGCACATTTGTTATGACAAAAATTGTTTCTTACTTCGTAACCCTTGCAAATAAGCGGTTTTAATAAAGACTAATAATGATGTATTGATTCATTGATCTTACTGGGTCTCTATTTATATGGGTAAATTAGTCTTTTGATACTAATATAAGTCATCATGATATGCTGTCAAACTATTGTGAAGGAATATCTAATCTTTTAGAACTACAGTGGTTTTTAGACACACACAGACATCAAGAATCAGCACACGAGTCTCAACAATGGTGACTATTAATAAAAAAAATAAATAATGCCACAATGCATGCTGGGTGCCAGTACAAAACTCCCAGCATGCATTGCAGAATAATTTTTTTTCTTTTGATTGTCACCAATTTTGAGATTCATAGGCTGACTGTTGATGTCTGTGTGTGTTTAAGTGCTGCCATAGTTTAAAATTTTAATTGTGCATATTGTGTTTAGGAATGTGTCAAAATGATTGCAGTAGTATCAGTGGTGCAAGTCAAGAGTATTAGTAATATATCACACACTTAATAAGAGATTAAACATTAGGTGAGATCAGTGAATCAGACTAGTTCATGATGGTCTTGACATCACAAACACCAGTTTTATTTGATCATAGATGCTTTTGGCTTTTCTTACTATAAAATCTGCGTTAAATAAACACAACTAATTTAAGCAACTAACGAAACACTTTTTTTAAAAAGTCAAGGTTTAAGAGCCCAGCTAAAGCAAACACTGATCGCCATTATGGTGACTTAAAATGAAAGTATAACACCTAAAATCTCAATAAGAGCTTTTGTGCACATATGACAGAAATAAAGTCACACTGGTTAGTAATAAGAAGCTGGTGATGCTGTTTGTGGAGCTGTTTAATCCTCCTCTGCTGAGATCTTGATCAATTTAATGTGTTTTATTTTCAGTTGATTTCGTCTTTGGCTTTGGCTGTAAGTTGTGTTGTTCTGCTCTTGTTTCTCTTTCCTTCAGTGATTCTGCTTGTTAACAGGCATTCATCACTAATGTTCGATCCTCATTTAATTATCTCATTAACTTCATCACCGCTTCAGTGTCACTTCAACACTCTGTAGTGTGGACACATATAAGTGCTCTTTAAAACTGAGGATTTTGCTGTGGGATTAAAGGGGTTAAATGTATGAGATGAAAAAAAACACTGTGAAATGTATTTTTAACAGAAATATACTGTTAATTTAATTTACTGAAGCAAACTGTAAAAAAACTGTAGATTACTGGCAACCACAGCTGCTGGTGTTTCACTGTAAAATCAAGAAAAGAAAACAGCAAAATACTGTAAAACCTAACAGTCAACTTCCTGTTGTTTTGTGGGTCATCATTGTGCTGGAGAGCAGAGCCTGTGTTTAAAGGGGTCATATGATGCGATTTCAAGTTTTCCTTTCTCTTTGGAGTGTTACAAGCTGATTGTGCATAGATAAGATCCCTGAAGTTGCAAAGACTAAAGTCTCAAAACCAAAGAGATATTCTTTATCAAAGTTAAGTCTCTGCCACACCCCCCTAAAACGCCTCGTTCTAACACGCCCCCACATATCTACCTCACTATGTGGAAATATTTGTATAATGTGGCCCAAATGTACACGCAAAGAAAGAAGGCGTGGTTTCAGTAACCGCAGTTAGTGTTGAAGCAGCATGTCAGGGAGACGCTGTGTGTTTCTAGGCGATAGCAAAAGCACTTTATTTGGCCTTCCGAAAGTAGATGCATTTAGGAATCTTTAAGATTACTTACAACAGAACAGCAATGCATTTTATGAACGACCGTTTCGTGAACCTAGGAGAGGAGGTAATTCTGACTTTGCTATGACAATCTGGCGCTTCTGAATCAGCTACTGTTTTGTTTGTTACACCAAATACACAAAATAATGATCTTTAAGAAAGCATCATATGACCCCTTTAAGTAAAGGACGGACAGAGAAAAACAGATGTTATACTGTTTGAGTTTTTTCATGGATTTAAGCAAAATAGTTCTCATTACCAATATGCTTGCATTACTTGATGCAATGCTGAATCCCTGACAATTTTCAAGTGACGGCTGAAAATTCATCTCTTTCGAAGCTACTTGACTTCATCATCATCATCATCATCATCATTATAAAAAAACAATTTTTAATTTAAAAAATGATCTCTCTTTATTTATTCCTTCTCTTTCTAGCTTGTACTTATTTGAACAATGTCTAAGAACTTGGTATTACAACCACTTCTTGTGTCTGTTTGCCTCTCTATTTAACGAACTTTTTTTACAGTGTGGCTTTAAAAATCACTCCGATAACAGACACACACAGAGTGATTTTAAGAGTTTAATCATCACCTCATTCAAGGGGAAGCAGTGTTATGCATGAAAGCAAACACACGGCCCTTAACATGCATTTGTAAATCAAGAAGGCGTGCTCCGGTGCTCACGGCTGTCTGCTGTTGAGAGACCAAGTGCATTATTGTTGCTTTTCCAATCAGTACATACATGGTTTAACAATGTATTCTTGAGTTGAATATTAATATATTGTGTGAAGAAAGCGTAGTCAAGTTGAATAAATGCTGGTGAAGGTTATGCAATATGTACTGTGCAGACAGTGGGATCGTTCACAATAACAGCAGTGGTCTTTTGCTTGTGTTTGTACTTTGTAACACCTCTTCCAACTGAGTGTTCAAAGAGAGTGCAAATGATGATGGAAAATTATAAATAAGGTTCATTTCAAATAATTCATAATTTAATCTCAGGTTACAGCCCCTCAAACTGCAGTGTGTCCACAACAGAGAATAAGATTTTGACCTATCATCGCATGATAGAGACGTTTCGCTGTGCTGATGAGGAGAGGAGAAAACTGGGAGACCCACTCGATGAAAACATCACTAAGGTGAGTTCAACTCTACTTATGGATTCCTTTGGTATTTTTGAGATATTTGCAAAAGCAAAAGCAATAGCAATAGCAGCACTCTGACATATGTCCCGACTCAAGGTCCTTTGCTTAATCTGTTCCACTCTTTCTGTCTCATTGTTTCCTCTCTCATCTACACTACCTTGTCCAATACAGGCATAAAAGGCCAAAGATATAACTTACTACTTACTATACCACATGTTCTATGACTTGTGCTGCAGTGTATTCTAAGTGTTGAATCCATATGATAGCTTTGTGTGAACTTTACCTTTAACTCAACTCACATCTCAAAAACAAAATTTCTGAATTGTCTTTTGCCACATCTGATCTAACAGGAACAACTTATGTCATAGCAAACATTATTTTCTCAAAACCATTTAATGTTCCCATATTCATGAATTTTCTCACAGCGTGTTTTACAGATTGTCAAAGATATGACCTCAAAGAGCTTTGCAGACAACATCAGGAGTAAGATTAAAGATGACATCAAACAAGAGAGATGCAATGAGCAGTGCTATGACAATTGTCAAGTTGATGACTCTGGCACGTCTCACCTGTCCATCATCGGAGAAGACGGGAGTGCGGTGGCCGTCACCAGCAGTATCAATGACTAGTAAGAGAAATATAAAGACATAGAGAGAGATCACAGTTTCTTAGTGCAGTTCAATAATCTGTGCAGACTAGTTTTAGAAGTTCATCACCTAATTGTTTTCTTTAAGATTCAATCATAACATCTGGTCAATCTCATTGGAAAAGTAAGACTCATTACACTTTGGCTAACTGCTATTTGGTCAGACTAAATCTCATTCTTAAGTCTTGATAAAATGGCTGTGTTCATGCAACTGGCCACTCCCAGTTTTGGTTATTCAGTCTGGTTCCTCTATTTCAAAACATCATATCTCTAACAATAATTACATCCATAAACTGCTGCTTCAGACTTCCCACTAGACAGTTTTTAACGGTCAAAATACTCAAAAATAAGTATTTTTTAACTTAAGATGTAAGACTAATTTGCATAGTCATTTAAAGGGAGCTGGTGCCATGTCTCTCAGCGAGGGAACATTAATAGATTCATCTACTGGCTCTGATAATATCAAACATGTTGTTTGTCTGTTGTCATTGTCTGTCAACTTCCAACATGTTTGATACTATCAGAGCCAGTGGGACAGGTTCTCCTGGCCTTTCAACGACCAATGAGCTCCTTGTGACACTTAAGACAGACAAGACTTGTCCTTGAGCATTTTTATCTGGGATTCACTTAAATTACTGTAAATGACTAATAAAATAAGAAAGCAAATAATGAAAACTCTGTTTATTTAAATTTGTATTAATTTATTTATTTACCATTGAACGTGTACATTAACTTCACAGCCACCTCATGAACGTTTACATGGTGAGATTGCTGCATGAACTACATTCTAAAGAGTCACATTTCTCGCGTTCATCTAGTTTTCTTGTTCTTATTTCAACAAGCATCCTCTGACAGAGAAGAGCAATATTTCAACATGACCAATCAGACGTTTTGACATCACCTTCAAAATCAAGTTGTTTCAAACTAGCTTATGGGACTTAATTTACATTAAACAAGATTTACCCAAAAGAGTTAAATTCTGCGCTTTATGATTTTATACATTTATTTATTTAGATTTACTTTGTAGAAAAGACTCTTGTAACGGCTCATGAAGGATTTGTTCTGATTAAAGAATCACACTTCAACTGATGTCTTAACATTTAATATCACCTTTGCCATCATCATCATCATCATGACCTTATTTCTACACCTTTGGAGTTACTTGCAAACTAACTGATGAAATCCAAAGCATAAACCAACACACTGTTTGCACCTTCTAAACAGAATCCAGGAGACATTTGGAAAAAGAAAAAAAAATCAATCAAATTATATTTACAATCAGACAGCTCTTAGTCTATGTAATTCTCCATGTGGTTCTGAAAGAACATTCATAATGCATTACACAACCTTTAATAAACAGAATGCATTTTTGAAAAGTAAATAACTGGAATATTCAGAATAAAATACACTTTATCTGTGACAGCTACAGCACTTTTCCATTCAAGAAAATATCAAAAACACCTCAACTAATTTTAAAAAGAAAATGTATCTATTTTTATAAAGCTCTGTTGCTTATTTGTTCTTTTCAATCTTCTTGTCCGGATCTGTGTGTGTGTGTGTGTGTGTGTGTGTGTGTGTATTCTCACAGTTTTGGCTCTAAGGTGATGTCAAACTTAACAGGCATTATATTTAATAACCAAATGAATGATTTCTGTAAACCCAAGAAGGAAAATGGACAAGACAAAAATAGGAGTTGTGAAAATAACAACCTAATTAAACCAGGTAAAAAAAAATACAATAAAAATGCATGTCTTGAGTTACATAAATTCATTGTAAATGAGTTACAACATTAAGTACAAGTAAAAAAACAAACAAAAAATACATAAATATAAATATAAATGTTCAAATGTAAAATACTATTTGTTTTGACAAGGTAAAAGGCCACTTTCATCAATGTGTCCCACAATCATATTGCACAGCGGACAAGTCAAAATGGTGGTTGGAGGTGAAGGTGGGACAAATATCACCACATCAGTTGCTCAGGTAGGAAAAAGCACAGTGAGTTGAACAGTTTAAAGGCACAATATGTAAGATTGTTTTGTTAAAATAACCAAAAACCACTAGAGCAGTGTTATATATTTTGCTGACTTGTGTACTTACATTATCCCAAATGTTTCGAAGAATGTTTAAATCCAGAGAAATAAGCAATTTTAACTAGAAGCACAGACCGTGTCCATAGTGTCATTGTGTTGTCTGCCAATGACGTCATAACCCCTCGTTTTCCAGTTTTGTTTTGTAGAAAACATGGAAACACCATATGCTATGCATTTTAATAGACCGGTGACGACCGCACAGAGTAGCATTATAACAGAACTTTCAAACGTATCTAGTATGATAAACAGCACTGCTTTACCCCACATGCGCACGACCGGAAGCAGCGGAAGCGGTCGACTGTGGCATAATAAAAGCTCTGCTGCTTTCGAGCTGTGTGTCGCACTTGTCTCTCGTTAGCAATTGCTTCAGCGGCCTCGTTTCGCGTCGACGGTTTTCAGCCTCACTCTGCTTCATACTATGATGTTAATAAATCTTTAATACATTAGCTCATCCATGAACATGATTTCTGACCGAGTCTCGTCGGATTGCGTCGGCGGTGGGGATGAAGACCACAACTCCCACACTCTCTAGCGGCGAAAACTTACATATTGTACCTTTAAACATTACTCAACATTACAGAACATGAACTCTGGGCCCTATGTGCCCTCAGCAAGTGCTAGGCAAGTGGCTAACGTTGTGTTTTAATAAATAAACAACAGGTTACTGTGTTTTTTATATGTATTTGTCTTCTATCTAAAATCCCTTTTCCCCTCTCCTGTCTCATATCTCAGGTGATCCTGAACTATCTGTTCTTTGGCTATGACCTGCAGAAAGCTGTTAAAGAGCCCAGAGTTCAGATCACGAAAAATGAGACAAATGTAGAAAAGGACTTTGATAAGGTAGGATTCTTACACTTTTATACTCTGAGACAGATTTATAGTGTCAGAATAGTGATAAGTATTCTAATTTTCTCTCTGTGTTGTGTTGTGTATGAATGCAGGGGGTTACTGATGGCTTGAAGAAGAAGAATCATTCTATATGTAACAATACTGAACTAACAGCTGTCCAGGCAATTGTACGAGAGGGGGACGAAGTCTGTGCTGAATCTGACTACAGGAAAGGTGGCTATCCTGCCGGATATCCAGAACCAATACTGTAGAATTTAGTAGGGACGCTAGGGACGTGTCCCTATCAATAACCGATGACTATTAAACTGTCCCTAGCAATATTTTTTTGATCAAACAAATAAATATAAGTATATGTAACCACTGCTGTTGTAATTTTGGCCACATCTGAAATAGGTCATACCATTGATATTACCTGAGAAGTTAAAGTAAATCCGCTAGAAAACTGCAATTTCAATGATGTACATTTAACACATGTTAGAAAGATATAAGAAGTAGTAAGAAGATATAAGGTAGCTGAAATGTTTAAAACATACATGCACAGTTCAGTTGAATAATAAAGTTTACCCTCTTGAACTTTGTTGTTAAACTGAATGTACTAAGCAAATATATCCACAAAATATTTTTTTTTTTGTTAATATAATAATTTAATAATGTAATAATTTATATAATATATAATATAATAATTTCTTAATTCAAAATATACTATTAATGAATGCATCTCTGATAATCCTGCTATGGTCACGCAGGTTTGTTTACGCATTAAACTCGTGGCCA